TAATAATTTGCCATTGAGTCAGTTCCAACCATCCCAAAGTTTTCTAGGTATAAAGTACTCAAATTATGCAAAGGCCATTTTCCAGCTCCTTCTTCTGCTGGCACACTGGGACCATGTTCTTGGCCCAAGGCCACAAAGATGGCAGGGCAGCTCGTATATACACAGCAGGTGATCTTGACTGGCTCCTCTCCTGGGTGGCTTAGTGGAAATTCCAACTCCAAGTCATTGACTCCAGAGCCAAGGACTATATTAGCTCAGCCGACCCTATATTTGTGCTCTCTTAACAAGATCCATTCATTCAACAAGTCTACTCTAGCTGGGAGTAACAATTGGATTTAGTCCTCTTTCCCATCCTCCTATTACTACAGCATTCCATCACACACACACACACAAACACACACACACACACACACACACACTGTACATACATCAAACAAAAAATAAAATAAAATAAAACACATCGTGTTTTGGAGTGTGTCCCACTTCTCCAGAGCCGATTTGAAGGAGGCAAGGGAGGAAGGAGAGATTACTTGTGCTGGCAGAAGTGTGATCCAACAGAAATACACCGCTGAATGCTGCCCATTTTAATGCAATCTTAGGTTTTTCCCCAGCAACTGCAAAGCACTGACATGTTGCCAAAGAAATCTGGCAATGATAACCTGCTCTTGGAGAGCTCGGTTCCAACCATTCTGCAGCTATCGGTGAATTGGGACCTTAGCATAACATAGTCCTCTTGAAGACAAATAAGTACAAGACTTTAAAGCTGTAGGAATGAATAAAAGTAAGGTTTCAGTTTAGGTTTCTAAGAGTAAAATGTTTGAATATAATTCCAGCCGTGATCTGTTGGAAAGGAACGGGTGAGCTAAATGTTGATGCCCCAAAACTGAGAAGATAATAGAGGTTAATAAAAACTATGTAGATACCATGAGGAGAGCCAATCATATTGTCAAAATTTTCGTATCACCTGCCAAAGGGTTTAATGGAAGATGAAATATATTAGGTAATGTGCTAATAAAAATGTGTACAACAAGCAAAATTGTGTACACTTCGTATATATTCAGAGATGTGCACAAGTATATATTCAGGTCCTGCCCTGATTTTTTTTAAAATCAACTTTAGGGATAGAATAAATGTAAAAGTGGAAAAATGAGAAGAGATCTCTTGGGTGAATTCCACCTGGCCACAATGTACTGTCAATTTGTCAATTACATTCTGCATTTGTGATATTCCCAAGGTCTCTCCTTGGTTGTCTCTGCTTGACACAGCTTTTAAAATACCTTCTTCAAAAACTCATCCATTTGTGATTCTGTTTTAAATTGAAAACAGATGGTTAGAACTCCTTAACTTTTCCACAATCCTTTGGCATTATTTTACACCTTTGTGAGCTTACCATATGCCTGGCGGGCTTCTTGCTCCAGGCATATTTAAATGAACACATGGGAATTTTTTTAAGCCTTTGGCTCTCATATTTCCCTTTTGTAATCCAAACAGCAAACAGTGTCTTGAGATAAATTTATTATTCCTTCCGATTTTGCCTTATAAAATGATAACAGAACCTTGATCTTAAAATTATCATATTTTTCATAGATGTACACACACAACTCAGTCATGGGTTTCTGTGTGTATGTGAATCTGTGGATCTCTTACCAAAGCAATAAGCCAGTTGTAACAATGCTTGTTCTCTGCTTATCCTTTAGACACAAATGCCTTCTGGAGCCCAAACACACATCTTTAAAGCAGATTTGGCACAAAGCAGAAAAATTAATGTAAGTCTAAATGCTGCACTATTGATTCTTATACTATGTGCACGTTTATTTCGTAGGCATTGTCTATTAGGTCAAACAGCTAATGCAGATTCCTGGCTTCATTTAAATTGGTGGACAGAGCACTGGAGAAAACCAGACTTCTAAGGAGATGCCCAGACTGCTTCATTTCAGCACACACATGGTTTTTCTGCGCCAGCCCTTGCTGTCTACCTTCTAGTCCAGACAGTTGGTGGGTGCACATCAGTGAGCATCTAAGACCCCTTTCCCCTGCTCACTGAACAAGTGGCTGCTGGGGAGAAGTGTTCCATGAGTTAGGAGGATAAGGGTTTATGTGTATGTTGGCAACAGGCCCAGGGACTTCGCCACCTTCACCTATGGATATGAGGGAGTTTATCTAAATGCATGCTCTACTTATCTTTTCAATACCACGTGGCTATCAGGTCAGATGTGATCTGTAAGTCTCCTCACAGGGCTTTCAAGTTAAGTAAGATATACATTCCTCCCATGAGTTTCCATGTCTGAGCAGGGATTTAATAATAATAATAATAATCCTGGATCTGCAGAGCTGAAAGGGACCCTATGGCTCATCAAGTTCAACCCCTGTTGAGGAGGTACAAGTCCCAAACTCTGGCTCTGCAAGCAGATATCTAAACCGCTGAGCTAGAACTCAGGTTTCTGAATTCTAGTCTGTCTCTGTTCACTACACCATAATGGGTACCACTTGCCCTATGTAGATTACAAAATGGTCTCTTAACATACTCCTGTTGAATCAGAATCAGAGTGGGGGCACACAGCAATGGTGTTTCACCGCCACACTGGCAGGTACCCAGAAGCAGCATCCTGTAGTTTTAAAGATAGATTTGCCACTTAATCTCAGACTTTCGCAGAGCTAGATGAGAACATTCTGTGCTTGAGAAAAAAACAGAATTTTGTCCATGTTTGGGGCTTTACAGACTGGAGATCTACCATTCTGAACGAACTGGAGTTCTGAGGATTCCCTACTTAGACAATGCACATCAAACAATCTTTGGCCCTCCAGATAATTTTGGACTACAGCTCCTACAGTTTCTTACCATTGGAGGGGCTGCTGAGAGAAATAAGTCAAAACATCTATAAGACCAAACATTATCATGGCTTAATACCTAGCACAGAGAGATTAAAAGAATTGTTACTTTTTTATTTAAAGGAAGCCAGATGTTGCGAGAGGAGTTAAATGTGGTGAAGAAAGAAGACGGTAATTGTAATATGGACAATACACCGAATCATCCTTTTCCTCTTGGCTTGGACTCTGTCACAAAAGATGCATTGCCACCTGCCAGTGAAGAATTCAGAACTCAGCTTGCCCAATTTGGATATGAGCCTCCACCAGATCTACAAAACTTCCAGGGGTCTTTAGAGGGGGGATCTCGTAAACGCAAAAGCATGCCCACAAAAATGCCTTCTGGCAGTTCTCCAGGAGATTCCACACCTCCCTTGCACAGACCTGAAGAGAACACCACCAGAGGTTCTCCCAGGCCCCCTTTATTATTCCAGCACCACCATGCGCAACCAAAGTACAATGCCCACATGATTGACCTATGTAACATTGGCTTTCAGTTCTACAGAACTGTGGAACATTTTGGAGCACAACCTATCAAGGAAGAAACAATAACACCCAATGTGCTATGGCCTGGCCCTACCACATTTTTTCAAACTCCCTATCCATACTACCCTAAAGTTCACCCTACCTTAATGTTCCCTTTTATTATGACCCCCAATTTTCATTTCAGAAGCCCTTTTCCATTGAAGAGGCTTCCAGAGCCATCCTTCCAGAGAAGTAAATTAGGAGAAGAAGATGAAAATAAGCAGAAGGTAGAAAGGGTGGATGTGAACATTCAGATTGACGACAGCTATTACGTGGATGTCGGAGGGGAACAGAAACGCTGGCAGTGTCCCATGTGTGATAAGTCTTACACTTCCAAGTACAACTTGGTTACTCACATTTTGGGGCACAGTGGCATCAAGCCACACGCTTGCTCCCGATGTGGCAAGCTTTTCAAACAGCTGAGTCACTTGCACACCCATATGCTGACCCACCAGGGCACCAGACCTCACAAGTGCCAAGTGTGTCACAAGGCTTTCACCCAAACAAGCCACCTGAAGAGGCACATGATGCAGCACAGTGACATCAAACCCTACAGCTGCAGGATCTGTGGAAGAGGGTTTGCCTACCCCAGTGAGCTGAAAGCCCATGAATCCAAGCATGAGAACGGCCGAGAGAATATTTGTATTGAGTGTGGTCTTGACTTCCCAACATTGGCTCAGTTGAAGAGGCACCTAACCACCCATCGAGGTCCCATATCGTACAATTGCACCGAGTGTGACAAGACATTCCAGTACCCAAGCCAGCTGCAGAATCACATGATGAAGCACAAGGACATCCGCCCATACATCTGTACCGAATGTGGGATGGAGTTTGTGCAACCCCATCATCTCAAGCAGCACTCTTTGACCCATAAGGTAAGTCTATATCATGGTTGCCAAATGGTGAGCTACAGAAACCTTTCTGGGTGAAACACTTTAGTTCAAACACTTGTAAACTGAGGCTGACATACACTGAGGCTGCAGTGTTTTCCCCGCTTACCTGGGAATAAGCTGATCTAAACTCAGCAGGAGTTGTTTATGAACAGGTTAGCATGGGAATGTTGTTATCATGAACATGTCTGCTATGATGTGAGCTCAGATGGATGCAGTGGGAACAATTCAAAATAAATGAATACAAAATTGTTTTGTAAAACCAAACCTCTGCTGCCTTTACTAGGGACCAAAATCAGGGAGTGATATATATATATTACATCATAGTACACACACACACAAACACACAAACACACACACACACACACATTTGATGAATTTAGCTGTTTAATCCTATATATTTGAATTGCTCCCATTGCATCCATCTGAGTGTACATACATGAGGCATCACACGTGTGTGTGCATGTGGGTGTGTTTGGGTGTGTCTACTATGATGTGAGCTCTGATGGTTGCAGTGGGAACAATTCAAATATATAGGATTAAACTTGCATCCATCTGAGGATTAAACAGCTAAATTAATCAAATTTTTGAGTGAAAAAATACTGCCATAAGACTTAAAGGAAGTGAAAGTGAAAAGTGGTCATAAAACTGTTATATTTATTATCTTGTAAAATGCTTTTAAATTAAAGTGCAATTTTTATTGTTGCCATTGTTGTTGCTGTTGTCATATAAAATATTATTTTTATAGAGTTAACAGTGGTGACTTCCCAACAACACTAAGACAGGTGTTCGGATATCTTGGAAATGAAATAGTATCTAACGACCATTAGTGAAAAGAGTATTAAAGTGTGGAAAGAACATTAATGTTCTCCTTACTTCTTATTGTTTTTATCACTCAGCTATGACTATTGTGCTGAGAGGTTTATTCCTCTGCATTGTCACAAGTTATACCGAAGGAAAGTGTAATAACATTCATAATTTAAGAATGGTTTTAGTAGAAGGACAAATGGCTACATTTATCAATATTTATTTAATAGGTTTATAACCTAGAATTCTTTTTTTGTTTGAGGTAAGGTTACAAAAGTTGCCATGACCAACTGTGGCTTAACTGATGACGTGACAGGAGCCTCACACATCCAATTGCTCAATGAAGATGTGTCTGAGCATCTTGCCAATTAGTTACAATTAGCTGTAGCAAGTCAAGCAATCTTTACACAGACACCAGTTTAATGCCAGCCATTGTGTACCTTTCAGGGAAAAGACCTATCTTACAAACTATGATCTGCAGTAGGAATGGAGAACCCTTGTCTTCAAGATGTGAAACTGTATAACTCAGACCGCTGCACCCCACCAAACGTGGTTAGTGGCAAAGGATTATGGAAACTGCAATCTAAAAAATATGGATGGAAAAATAATTTTCCTGCCATAGAGTATTTCCTTGCATTTTTGGCTCAAAATCTTTTCCATAACAGAAGTTTCCATAACTTTTTGCGTTTGTAGTGGCAGGCACGTATCTGATTAGGCAAATATATTTCTTTTCATACTGCTTGCATCGGTCTTTGTGAGTTTTGATAGAATTGTGACAAATTCTTTGTGGTTTCCTTTTTGACATTACTGTATAGAAGAGCTACATTTTAAAATATAGGATCTCTTTGCATCTTTGACTTGCAATTCTGGTCAGTATAGGACAGTATTATCAACATTTTGGTGGCCACCACAAAGACTAGAAACATGTTTAGGGAGAAGACAAGAAAAGAGTTCAACACGTTCATTCCTGCCAGAATATAGGATTGGAAACTGCTCTGTCTGCTATTAAAAATAAATAATTACAACAGCTATACATTTTGGTTTTGTTGTTATTATACTTTCCAAGGGTGTGAAAGAGCACAAGTGTGGGATCTGTGGCCGGGAGTTTACACTGCTTGCCAATATGAAGAGACACGTCTTGATTCACACCAACATCAGGGCCTACCAATGCCACCTCTGCTTCAAGAGCTTTGTGCAGAAACAGACTCTGAAAGCGCATATGATTGTCCATTCAGATGTCAAGCCCTTCAAATGTAAGGTGAGTCCTTCTCCGTGCTTCAGTCAGGTAAAGCAGGATGATACCCGAAGGAAAGGAAGGTTCTAGAGAGACAGGGAGGGGTGTCCGCTACCGATGGTCTCCTTCAAAAAATATGACGGATCTTGTGCATTAAAAAAACAGCACAACAATAAAAATTTAACTTATTTTGAAAACGAATAGTAGAAAGTCTAACACGATCTGTGTCTTGTTCTAGAAGAGAATGAATTCTTCATTTTCACCCTAGATTTTTTGGAGGGGACAGGGTGACTGAAAGAGGGGCTGAGTAAGGGATGGAATTTAGAATATATTACACACTGCACAGTAAGTAACAGAATGGTTAAATATTGTGTAATGTTTGAAACAATGTGGGTTGGGGGTGTTTGTTTGGGTTTTTTTGCCAAATTCCTACAACTTAAATTATGATACATTGTGTTTGAATCAGATTTAAGTGATACCTAAGCAGAAATCTAACTCAGTTCAAGTCTGGGAAGACATTCTGATGCCTTACCAGGAAATTTAAAAATGTTAAAAATCAGTGTAATTAGAAATGGAACAGCTCTACCACACTTTAGTGATGACCCAGATCGACCTCACTAAGCCTGATGGTAGGTTTTCCACCATCAAATTCGAAGGAGTCTTATTCCAGGAAGAGAGTAATCATCACAACTCTTAGAATAATGACAAAGGTAGTTGTGATATTTTGAAAAAAACAAACAGGTATTTTGAATATTACCAGAAAATTACCAGAATTGAGGACACTTCTAAACTTTAATGGATTTATGCAAACAGAGTGCAAAAAGAGCTTTGATAATGTTTAATAGTCTTACTAGACAAGATGCTGGTTTCGTGTCTAGAAGCAGTGCACCACTGAGAGGGAAAGACCTCTGTTAATTCTAACAGGAGATCCATTTCCTCAATCCATTTCTGACAAATTAGTCTTTCCCTTTTTCTTTTCTTTTCTTTTCTTTTCTTTTCTTTTCTTTTCTTTCTTTCTTTCTTTCTTTCTTTCTTTCTTTCTTTCTTTCTTTCTTTCTTTCTTTCTTTCTTTCTTTCTTTCTTTCTTTCTTTCTTTCTTTCTTTCTTTCTTTTTGTAATTTGTCATTTGGGGATGGCATAGCTTTATTTGCATGTCTGATGCCTTAGGCACCTAGATCTGTGTTCTCTGGGGAGATAACATAGTAAAAAGAGGAAACATCGAAGTAAGATAACAAATGAACAGTGAAAGTTTTACTCTCAGAATCAAGCTAGGTTGACCTAAATCTACACCAAGATGGTGTGAGCGACAGCCTGAAGCATTGTTTTATTGATAAGGTGAAAAGAAAGACTAGGATACCAACATTTAATAACAGGCTAGAGCAACCAAGAAGTTTTTTGTTACTCATCAATTGCAGAAGCCTATGATGTGGCACACTTCTTTCCACAAAGACCCCCTGTTTTATAGATAAGGTGAAAAGAAAGACTAGGATCCCAACATTTAATTACAGGCTAGAGCAACCAAGAGGTTTGTTGTTACTCATCAATTGCAGAAGCCTATGTGGCACACTTCTTTCCACAAAGACCCCCACGTAGTTCATGCCAGTTTGTCTGCCTGGGTCCCACTCTCAGCTCCCTCATCATTTACATTCAAATCAAAGGTGTATTCAAAGCCATCATCCCTCTCCTCATAATACCTATTTCTCACACATGCAGTTGTTCTAAATCTCAGTATACTCCAATCATCTGTAAAAATCAGTACGGCCCAGACATGACAAAGCTGAACATGCATCTTGAGACCTGAACTACTGGACTCAAGGGAAGAACCAGCTTTTACTTCCACATTTGCTCAACCAGCATTTCCTACAACTGGTTTTTGTGGGTTTTTTGGGCTCTTTGGCCATGTTCTGAAGGTTGTTCTTCCTAACGTTTCGCCAGTCTCTGTGGCCGGCATCTTCAGAGGACAGCACTCTGTTAGGAAGAATAACCTTCAGAACACAGCCAAAGAGCCCGAAAAACCCACAACAACCA